GGGGGGGGGGGGGGGATGTCAGAGGATTAAACGTGTAATAATTATAATAAAGCTTTTTGTGATTGATTGGCACTCTCATACTAAGTTTTGCGAGAAAAGGGGATCTGGGGTCCTCCCCCAGAAAATTTTTTTTTGAAGCTCTAGGACTGAATTTCTGGCGTTTTCTAAAGCAAATTTCGCAAACAAATTGCATGTAAATTGACTGTATTTTACAACTAAGGATCCAAGGATAGTGTGAAGTTTCAAACTGCAAGAACTATATAGGGTCGCCGACAACCTAGAAAAGCTTGATGGCTTACACTACGAAATAAACAGTTACCAAAGGCATTTCATCTCATTATTTATTGCTTTTAATACGCTCGGCATACGAGTAGCGTGACGTTTGAAACAAGCCTAACACATCAGAAACGTGCCTTGTGAAACTGATGCAATTCATCTATTTATTGTGTCACCAACAACCAAATTTTGCATATTCTAAATTTTCATTTGCATTTGCACTTGCAGCTGTCGCTGAAAGCATCTCCACGAGGCTACTGCTATGCTAAATTTATCTAATAAACTATAATTGAAATAGCTGTATAAGATATGTTATGAATAATAAGCACTACGTCGTTACATCATTAAAAGACGCATTTTATCCTCATCCGTTCCGTATTTTATCCGCATATCCGTTCCGTGGATCCGCTCCATCCGCTTCCGCATTTTAACTTAATTGTGACATGTTTCACAATAACAAGTTTCATTGACTTTTGACTTTTCCCAGTGTGACGTGTGTCTATTTTCAGCTTTTCGCATGTGTTGAATATAAATATCACTTTAGATTTCAATAGTTTCACAGTTATAGCAGTGTTTAAAACATTTTTGACAAGCTTTGATACAGTTCTGTGTACAGAATACTACAGATTGATTCTCGTAAGATCTGGTAGAGTTATCGTTGCACTGAATACGAGTTTGCACCGTTGACAACGGCGTTGTGCTAGACACTAGACAGTAAACAAAGACAAGGACCGTGAATGTACACGTTGGCTACATGTACCTCCTTGCTTTTTTCTTCTATTGCATAAAGCTTGTTGGCGAGCCAATTAAGCGATTAGCGATAACACGTTGGCTATCTCCTCGTCTTTCTTATTTATACAAGGAGCTCTGACTCTGTATTACTATTATTGCGTAGAATCTCAAAGATTTTCTCAATATTCATGTCTGAAATGTTTATATACTTGAAAACAACACTGTCTCGCTTCTGCCTGCACGTACTGTACCTCTGTAATTTCACGGCATACTCATTATACAGACTCTGTATAATGAGTATGCCGTGAAAAAATCATATCGGCACTCAATTGAATGCCTAGAAGCAAGATTTTCGACTCAATATTTACGTCTGAAATGTTTATACACTTAACTGCACTGTCTAGGCGGTCTAGCTCCTTCCTAGCTCTGTATAATGAATATACCGTCTAAATATTATCGGCACTTATTAAATTGAACGCCCGTAATGCATAAGACCAATTTATATATTGTGTGGATTTTCAAAGATTTACTCAATATTCACGTCTGAAATCTTTATATACTTGAAAACAACACTGTCTCGCTTCTGCCTACGTACTGTACCTCTGTATAATGAGAATACCGTGAAAATAATATCGGCACTCAAATGAATGCCTAGAATCAAGATATTCGACTCAATATTTACGTCTGAAATGTTTACACACTTGACTGCACTGTCTAGGCGGTCTAGCTCCTTCCTAGCTCTGTATAATGAATATACCGTCTAAATATTATCGGCACTTAATTGAACGCCCG